CAGTCATCATGTTTCTGTTTACCATTTAATCTGCATTACTGATTATCGCTCAGTCTTTTCTCCTGTAGTTCCTGCCAGTAAATCCTACACAGTTGCCATCATCAAACCAGATGCTGTTGCTCACGGCAAAGCAAATGAGATCATTATGAAGGTACACAGAGACTAACGCCGCTCACCGTCTGATAAGACAAGATTGTCTCCTCCTGACAGCAGCTCATTATCCTGACATTACTCCCCTGGCTAGATTCAAGATGCTGGGTTTGAGATCCTGGCCCATGAAGAACGCACGCTGACTGAGATCGAGGCTCGAGACTTTTACCAGCACAAAGCAGCAGAGGTATGGTGAACTGCTGATCGGTTCAGTGTACTGTGTGCTGTGTGTTTGTGAGGTTGGTCTGGACAATTAAAATTCAGTCAACATCCTAATGGGAGAGTAGTCACGACTAGTGCAGAAATCATTTCAATTAGTTTGCAATACATCACACTTCCATCTGCATTTCTGCTCAAGGCTCAAAATAGATCTGCTGTGTAAGCAGCTTTTTTTTGTGCTTATCACGCTGTTTGTGATGAGACTAAATGATTAGAGATTGAGAAATACCAAATGTGTGAGAAAAGGTGGCCAGGCAAAGCAATAATATCCATGATGTAATATAGTGCTGTATTTATTTTATTTAAAAATGAATTCATAGTAATTTATCTCTATATTTCTCACTTTATAAATGTAAGGGCTGATTCAAGAAGCAGGTTATCTGGACAACTTCATTGCATAAAACCCAGATTGCTCATTTGTAATATTCATTACGTTAATATATGTGTACGCCGCTGTCTCTGAATGTGCTTGTGTGTTATGTTATGGTGGTTTCTAGGCTTGCTTTGAGGACTTGGTGCAGTTTATGTCCAGTGGTCCGTCCCATATTCTGGTGCTCTCTCAGGCTGAGGGCTCAGCCAACGTCGTGCCCGCATGGCGTGAGTTCATTGGCCCAGTAGACATAGAGGAAGCCAGGAGAGAAAAGCCAGAAAGGTTGGTTGTTGGCAATTATGCACATGCTGCATTCAGAAAAAAATGTTTAGAAAAAAATGTCATTAATTACTGTAAGATACAATAGTAATT